AGAGACACTGTGCTCATTTTGAATTTTTACTGTAAAGTATGAAATAGACAAAAGAGCATGATGAGAGCATGATGACACATATTTGTTTTTTCCCCGTAATAATTTACTCTCTATATTTGATTAATCTCAACATACAGTATGTATTCATCATGAATAAAACTATAATCAGCAGAGCCTAAAACAATACTGGCAGCTTTACTTATCATGTTTTATTGTGTGTCTGGTCTCAGTTAGCTTGTGGTATCAATGATACTGTGAAGTTAGTGATCACTTTGTGTGGTGTGGGTGAGAGAAGACAGAAGGTAACGACAGGCTGTTTGTCGCTGATCTGAAACGTAATGTTGACTAATTACAAAATGCAAAATACAGACCTATATTAACTGTTTATATATTTACTGCTGTTTTATTAATAAAACAATATTTGCATAAATTCTGTACATTTGAAACTCTTGTTTTTCTTTTATTGCACGAAACCTCTGGTGATCTGAAGTTGAGTTGAGACATTAATCACTCACTGAATTTATATTTAACATGCTGACACTGAAACACAACTGGAACACATTTCAAACAGATAATTCACTTTATCTTTAACACGGCACTCAAGTTAGTTTGAAATTGGATTTATTTGAATATATTTCAACATCTTGTTTTTCACAGTCCCAGGAAACATGAAACTGATGTCTTCATTGTCTGGACTCTATAACCATAATATACATTCAGAAATGTTCAGGTCCACCTCATCGTTCTTGCTGCTTCTAGAAAACATTGACAGAGTACCTTTGTAAAGTCCAGCATTCTTCCTTTGTAGCTTCTAGTGCATTTTTGGATTAGTGCATCATTGGAGGAGCAAGTCAGAAGATCATTTTTCCAAGTTCAAACATCACCTACAAGGACAATAAACAACAGATGTAATATTATTTTATTGGTAGATGTTGTAAGTGTTTTTAGCTGCAGCAGTTTGAGAATGCGTGGCGAAAGCAGGTTTGCTCTGATGAATAATAACATTACATTCTTAAATAAGGTATAAAAGATCTCCTTCACCTCTATAGTGATGAGGATGACGATCATCCACTCCAACCTCAAGCTGTGCTTCTCGCTCAGGTGGCTCCTCATGAGGTCTGTCAACTGTGTGCAATGTTCCAGCTTCTCATTCACAACCTGAGAAACAAGGAAAACTGAGTCCAGATCAGAAACAAAGCCTCTTACAGTGGAAATCAGAGTGGCTCTCTATATTAAGAGACTGATTTACTTACATTGACCCTGCGGTTGATGCTGAGGAACAGGCAGGTCTTCTCGTAGAGTTTTTCCAGGTTTTCTCTGTCCCAGTAGAAATCAGGTGTGAGGAGCAGGTCGGACCTCAGGTTTATACAGTGTCTGTCAGAGGAGGAGGGTGTAAATACGGGTGTAAATACGAAACTCATAAATATGAAAATCATACTTTATAAAAGAGACTGGAGTTAATGTCAACAGCTCTTCTAGCTAGCTATCCATCTATCTATCTATCTATCTATCCATAAATACACCATATACTGCACTCCGTACAGCTGATATCTAAATTTCACACTCTCATGGATATCTGTTCCCTAAATGTGCCTCATCTTTTTTCATCATTCCGTGGGAAAACGTTGATAAACACTGTTAAAGAAAGTGAAAAAAGAAATCCTGGATCTGCACCAACCTAAAAGGAGTTGTTCTCTGACCCATTCCACATCCTTCCACTAAGTTTCCTTTGAATCTGTTCAGTCATCGTTGTGTAATCTTGCTAACAAACCAACTTGAGAAAAAAAACAAAAGTCTGCAGTTGCCAGTAAACTCCAATTAGACAAAATTGAATTTACCTTAAAGCGAACAGCTCTCCTATTTTCTGCATGACCTCTGCAGAGGACAACTTCACTCTTTTGCCAGCCTTCAGCGTCTGAGTGAGGGAGAAAACATAAGGGCATTAGCATTAAGGGAAGCACTGATGTTCTAAAATAAAAGTAAAAAACAACACTCATAACACATCTTCAGCTTTTCCTTATTTCTTGCCGCTGGCTGGTAATATCCACTGTACCTCTGGAATTGACTGAATTGACTCTACAAAGTCGTCTAACGCCACCTCCCATATAGCCAGCTTCACTGGAGGAGAAAGAAAGAGGTGACTGGAGTGGAAGTGCAACAACAAAACAACACACAACTTTATGGTTTGCAGTTGAAGGTTCTCACCTGACAAGCACAACGCATTTGAAAAGGCGAATTTCTCCAAAACAGCATCATGTTGATCAATGTAGTCATTTAGAATGAAGTTTCCGCGTTCAAGCTTTGTATTTCCTCTGCGGGAGAAAAGAGTTGTTTTATGACAGCTAGTGTGAAGGTAAAATTAGTTTGAGCATTGGAGCAGAACATACTCGCTAACAGTGTAGTTGATCTCTTCATTCTCCCAGTGAACTAATGCTACTTCATAAGGCTGGATCTCATGGCGTTCCAGTATTCTCATCACACTTTTCATCTATAAAGACAGAGACATTGAAGTATTACACTGGAGCAGAGAAGTAAACAAGAAATCCAATTAATGACATATCATATTTTTATAAATGATTAATAGTTTTGTTTACCGTTTTCTCCTCAACATTCCAGAAAACTGCTGAGCCCTCCCTGAAATTTCAGAATTGGATTGTCAGTACATGATACGATGTAAAAAACTACAAACTATAACTTCATTTCTTTCCTTAAAAAGATGGACTATTTTTTCCATAACTCCTTTCTTCATTGAACAAAACGTGATTCATCTTAATTCAAGCAGTCAAACAAGAACTTTGCCTAGAATAAAAATGTCAATATTTAATCAAACTAAAACAGAGAAGCTGACCAAGTCATTTTTGTTGCCTTTTTTCAAAACAGTTTTTGATATTGGATTTCCGTCAGGACTAAAAAAAAAAGTTTATGATACCCAGCCCTGTCAAATTAAATACTACATATTGTGGTACCTTAATAATTCTTAAAAAATTTACCATCACATTATTTACACTCAGAACAAAACCCAAAACAAAGCAGTTTGAAAACGACGATGTTTTTTCTACCTGAAGAAGAACATGACAGCGTTGTCATCTGGTTTTGCAGCCTTGTCTGTGCTGATCACCAGCACATTTGAAGCATCTGAAATTACAATATGACTCATAAAATGGTTGATGTTGCTGATCCAAGCGTTATATATATATGAATATATTTAAATATATCAAATCTCTCTGCAGTGGGTGTCATACCTCTCGGTAGATCTACCTCAAGGAAGCCGTGGCTTATCAAGTCATGGCAAAGTGTTGGCAGATGATACTGATCTGCTGTTGCAAAGGCGATACACTGCAGCATGTCCTGCAGAGGAAACATGGGGCTGGATTCATCACGGAAGCTAAAACACTAACATGATATCAACACATTAACATCAGCCATTTATCCGATGACCCGCTGCATCACCTTGTCCTCTTTCTGAGACGGCTGGTTGGCTCTCGAAGGTTGTTTTGTTCTTGGTCCTTTGGGAACCCTCTTCCCAGGCACCGTCACTGGTTTTAAAGTTGGCTTTAACATCGACTTCACGAGGTCTGGTGAATAAAAACGATTCTGTCCACTTCTACATTTGTTAAGCATCCCAGGGTCAATGAACAGAGCGTTGTTGAAACTTTGAAATCCACCTAAAGCTGGCAGGATGTGTCTCTTATGTATCTGCTGTTGGTGAAGAGTGTTAAAGTAACAGGTCCTTGAGATCCCTGGGTCAGAGCGAGTCCTGGGTTTGGATTCATACTTATGAAGCTGGACAGACTGGGAGACACTGGCTGTGGCACGGATGCAGAACGGTTTCCTCCCTACGGACCACTGTGCTCCCAGTCTGGACCACAACTTCTGGAGGAGCATCTTCTCATATAGACTGTGACCTACAACACAGGGATCAGATGTTATCAGAGCTCGAGCAATAGATCTGTTGACCAAGTTCTATATATGTAGTTCGATTTGTTTTACATAACAATATTTATTCTAACTTTACAATAAAGTTCATGTAAAATATCAATCAATATATTACATTTCTTCATCTTCAAAATTAATAACGACATTTTAGGAATCAGCATAATTTAAAAAAATATATGTACTAGCTAATATATCGGTATCGGAAATGTTCTACACCCTAATTAGGCACCATTCATAAACACATTGTAATGTCCTGCAGAGCCAATTAACTACAGCATCATGTCGAGTTGAATATCATGTGCAATGTTACCTAAATAATAATTACTGCTATTATCATTGTCATGACTACTTTCTATCGCCTCTTTAATAATTATATATGTTTAATGTCTAGTGTAATTTACATTATTGCAGTTTGGCAGGAACCCACACCAGCAGGACTGACCTTGACTGAAACCACAGGGTCCTCTGTCAGTCTGGTGAACATCTACTCACACTGAGTCAGCTTGTGTGAATAACAAAGCATCGATAAACAGAACATGTGGAGCTAAGTGTGCAGAGAGGAAGTGGTTCACATGCTGCTGCACTTCACTGTGCAGCTGTTAGCCGTTAGCCGTTAGCTCGCTTACCAGTGATGCGACAGGAGCGACTCACAACATGACGATGTTGAACGGATGGAACGTGTCAGAGAAGTGACGCTGGTTCTGCGCGTAGAGACAACGTGGATCTCTTGATTGTTTACGTGTGATCCTGAGGGACAGAGCAGGCGAACATGTTGGGTATTTGTCAATAAAGTTTTATGAAGCCGGTCACTTCCTGTTTGGCTTGACGTAACGGCGCCCGGGTGTGTGCCCTGCGCATTGACTGGCAGGTTCGGAAGGTGATTCTAGTGGAGCTCAGACACTGAGCTGGCATTCTCTTTCTTTTTTAACCCATCTCTTGTTGTCTTTCTTTTGTTTGCTGCTGTGCAAAACAGTTTGTGTTTGTTTCGACTATTATCTACATATTTTTTATTACTATAGGAGGACTGAGTGTTTTCTACGGTGGCCCGAGAGAGCTCAACGCACTGCAAATGAAGAAAACACATGAAAATAGAAAGTCAAACTTGGGAATTAAGAAAGAACTTCAACAACACACATGCAAATACAGAAACGTGCTGCAAATTGCAGAAACTACATTAGAAAGGTTTCCTGGGGACCAAAAAAAAGATGAGCCCGGCTGTAGTTCAATGCTTTGTGAAGTTAGTGAAGTCTGCTACTCATCAATGGGGATGGAACTTCAGAAAGCATTGAACTACAGCTGGATGTAGTACTGGATTTCTGTCTGTCCTAAAAAAAAGTATTTAGGTTTGATTAAATAATTTTAATTTGCCCCATCAAATTGTCACAATTAATTCCTTGCAAAGTCACAACCTCTGTGTAATTCTGACTGTTGCATCTTGGTAAATCCACTTATGATAAGGGAAGTTAAGGTAAAGTGTTGGCAAATATTAAACAATATAAATCATATAAAAAACGATGGTTCAGTTGAGGCTATGCTTGTAGACAGGGCTTCCTGCAAGTCTAAGATCAGGGCGAAAAAACACAGCTGAGTTGACCTTCATGTGCATCTTCATTAACTTTTTCGTTCCTTTATGTTCTTCCAAATGTTTGTCTCTTAGGTTTACTACTTTATAATCCACGCATCGTAATTGGTTTTGATACAGAGATTTATTCTTGAATTAAAACGAATCAAGTCTTTAAATGTCAGAGGTCTTCATTCACAGCACCCCCTGTGGTGGAGCACGGTATAGCCCGTGTTTGGTGTTGCCAGGAGACTTCTAAAACAGTAACTCAGTAACACTCCACTTCCCCTGCAACACACCTAACTATAAGTTATGGAAAACTCCGATGAGGTATGTTTAACTAAATAAATGAATGCCACCTCTCTGTGTGGAAGATATTACTGAGAAACAAAGTCCTCCATATGTTGACAACTTCTTATTGAAGTGAAAATCAGGTGAAAATGTGTTTGGAATTTGTAAAAAACTTTTACTTGTCATTCTTTGCTGTTTTCTTCATTAGGGGGATCAGTCTAATGGGAGGGAGAGGCTGAAGATGAGAGTTGCAGTGTTGGAGGAGAGTGTTCGATCGTCTGAGGTGGAGTGTAGAGCCAGCAGAGAGACGGTGCTGAGGCTGGTGGCAGAGCTCGACCGAGAGAGGAAGAAGGCCGCCAGCAGTGCAGCGGCACTCGACTCACTCAAAGTGGTACTGACACAAGAAAGAGTCTCCTAACTCCATTTTACAGATCAGTTAGTTTACCATACACGCATCAGAAAATTCAGAGAAGACGCTGGAATGTTTTGTTTTGATTTAACTGTTAATTTCTTTCCCTTAAGTTTTATTTCTCAAAACAAAAGCAGTAAAAACTGTTTCACCATTAACTTCACATAATGAATAGAACAATGGTGGGTAAACAGCTTTACTGGTTTATTTTAAATTTAGAAGTAGTCAAATGTTCAATAGTTCAAATTTTTGTGAACGTAAATTAAGTATTATAGAGCACTGACAATTATAATACTCAGTGTCTATGATTTCAGGAGGTAGACTCCCCCCTGGTTGTTAGAACCGTATCTCTCAGTAAAACAAAACAGGAGATGAACTCAGTATTTCAAATGGTCACTTCATTCCTGGAGTTGACTGAAAAACCACATATAAGACTTCCTCCAGGACATTTTACTTTTGACATTGTTGTGTTTAAGTTGTTTTTTTCTCTTTTAGGAGTTGGATGGCCTGGAGGTGGGAAGGAGGAGTGTTGAGATGGATAAAGAAACCCTGATGGAGAGGCTTGATGCCAGCAAGAGGGTGACGGAGGCAGCGAGGCGAGAGTCCACCTGTCTGGAGAAACAGGTGGAGGAGCTGGAGAGGAAACTACAGTCAAGTCAACGAGAGACTCAGGCAGCTGAAGACAAACTGCAGACGTTCCTGAGGAAGGTGGCAGGTCTGCTGCAGGCAAAGTCTGCAAACGTCATCCTGCCCACAGAGAGAGATGTTTCACAGACACTGGATAAGGTGAGGGATCAGTGGGGATTTCTATCACATCACACAAAGATTACTCCAGTTTAGGACAATACTCAAGCAAATGTTTGTAGTTACTTTACACTACGATGTATCTTTGATTTGAATCCATCTCCTCTCAAAGAGACGTTCCTACTCTGAAATAAACACCTTCATTTTCTGCGTGTGTCTGTTCTGCAGATGATGTCTGAGATGGAGGCCAGGCTGTGTCAAGCCTCAGAGGAGCTGAAGCAGCAGACGGAGCTCCAGCACGGTGCGCTGCAGAGGGCGCAGCTTGCAGAGCAGCAAGTCCAGGACCTGAGAGAGAGACTGCAGGGTCTGGAGACCGAGCTGCTGACGGCAGACATGCATCGTGACGGGCTGCGACACAGCCAACAGCTTGTGAGTAAAGAACATAAACAGTAAATGAAACTATTCATTACAGTTTTAGTGCTGTGGCACATGTCCTTGATTTGTTGTTTCAGTATGAGCAGTTCCTGGAGCAGCTGTCAGAGACACTGACGGTTGACAGCATCGCTCTGGATCTGGGCTTCGACATGAGGCTAAAACTCATCCTGTCACGTGCAGAACAACTTGTCAAAAGAGAAGGAAGTGCTCTGGTGGACAGCAAAAGTCTCACTTACAGTTTACAGCGAAAGGTAGCTATACCAATTACAAGCGTCTAGAAATGTGCAACTGGTATTTGATCATGAAGATACCATCTTTTATTTGTGTAGCTACATCTACATCTATTGCATGACCAGTGATTCACCTGTGATCAAAACTTTCCAGTTGAAATCACAGAAGGACCAACTGGAGAGCAAAGAACTCCACATCCAGCTCCTGAGGAAGAAGGTGTCGGAGCTGGAAGAGGAGAGGAGGTGTCGCTCAGCATTGGCTGTGGAGCGAGATGACGCACATCTGGAAACCAGGAGGCTGCAGAAAAGACTAGAGCGTCTCCAGAGCGAGCTGAGGGCCACCAAGCAGAGCAACACTGAACTCAAGGCCCAGCTCTCCCACACCAACGAGCTCAAGGTAGAGGGGACGAGGGTTCGGCCCCAAAGTCGATCCAGAGGCATTTTCATCTCATAATGTTTGGTGTTTGTATTGTTAAGGTATAGATAGGTGAAAAGTAGATGATCGTATTTTGTAACGGTGTACACATTTTGTAATGCAAATCACCCATGTACATTTAAAGTATAATATCCAAGAGCATCAAACCAAATTTGTCTCCTTGACAAATGAATTGAATAAAAGTTGTTTCACTCAACACCTCTGTCTGACATGCCAAGTTGAAAGTCATGGAACAGAGTGAGACCATGCAGGAGCAGAAAAAGAGGCTGGAGCGGATGGTGGAGGGGAAGGCCAAGGTGGAGAAGAAGCTGACTTCAGTGAGCTCAGAGCTTCAGAGCCATGAGCAAAAGACCCGAGAGGACGAGCAACAACTGGGCTCCCTCAGACAGAGCCTGGCTCAGCTGTCTGACAGAGAGAGGGAGGTAAGGGGGGGCTGCATATTACAAAACATTTGTTCTGCAATGGTAAATCCATGTGAAGAGAAAAAAGGGAGATATCTTCAAATGTTAAAATTATTTAAATATTCAGTATACTGTCTTCAGGTTGGTATTTTCTCCTTAACATACAAGAATACACAATCCATTCACTATTTTTCTGTCCATGTTTCAGTTGCTGGATTTCCGCATGGTCGTCTCCCAGATGCTCAGTTTGGATGCCACGGCCCCGCCTCTCCCAAACCATGAAATCATCAAATCACTGGAGACCCTTCTCAACACTCATCATCACTATCACCACCTTCATCACCATGTGAATTTGCCGTGGCAATGTCCTACTCACCGGAGGCCTCATCTCTGCCGAATCCAGGATCGTCCTGACAACTTGTCCTTGGACGTTTCTACCTCCAGGTCCGCTCGTCCAGAAGAGGCAGTTCCCCTTTAAGAAACCTTTCATGCATTATTCTTCAAGCCAAACCACACTTACAATGTGAGGGGATTGTTGTGGAAATTCAAATAGACCTTATATAGTATGAGATTCTCAGAAACCATGTTTTCCTGTCTGGGTTTTCAGAAGAAAATATGATTCACTGAACAAATATCAGCAATGTTAATAAAAAAAGAGAATAAAAGACAAATATCAAAATAAGGATTTGGCATTCATTGTTTTTCATGGTCGCATATACATACATTTCTATAATTTTTCACCATTATTTACACGTTAAATAATCTTGGACTGTTATACATTTGATACTGAACTGACGGTCATACAAAATATACAGTAGATCTATATGTCATAATCTTAAAGTCGCATTTTGTATCTTTAAAAAATAAAAACAGTAAAATGTATAAAGACCATGGATGACTAACGTAACAGTGATGAGTCTGACTTTGATATTAAAACACATATCTTGGCTTAAAGGAATCTCTCACGAGTGTAAATCAAGTTAAAAATGGATCGTTTTACCACAAACACAATGACAGATGTAGGTGGATCAAAACAACGATCAGAACTGCATGCCAACGAGTAAAAAAATAATTGCAGTGTGAGATATAATAAATGTCATTATTGTATTATTTTTACAAACTTTTCACTTACAAGCAAATTCACAGGCTATTTTCCAGCAGTTAACTTTGGTGCTATTCACTGACAGTTTTCTTCAGAGAAATACAGCTTGTTTACGTCACTGTCCACAATGTCCACAATGTCCACTGTGGGAAAAACTGTCTTCAGCAAAGATGCTGCTTAATACATGAGCATTACACAGAGGATGATGGTGAGATGCTTGATCCTATGTGCTACACACAAAGAGATTTAC